GTGGACTACATGGGAGTCCAGCGACATAGCCATTACGCTAACTGCTGGTTCCCTGGGGTCAGTTTTCTTAAAGAAAACCAGTACCTTTTTTTTTTCTTCTATAGGATGCATGCACTCCCCGGATACAGAGTGAGGGACAACAAATGAGAAATCACCCCTCAGGGAGGATGGCCATGCTGCATTCTCTACTCTTTTGTTCTCTTCTTGGGATTTTGGACACACACGTGCACCCGCGCGCGCGCACACACACACACACACACACACACACACCTGGCGTAATTTTCAAGCCACTAGGTCCGGGACTTGAACCACACACCTGGCCATGTGGGATCCAAACTCGACATCACCTGCTGGCCCACCAGTGCCTTTTATACTGTTAGAGTCTCCTCAGCGGGAGATAACAGGACATCCAGACATAGCCAAATGTATCGGAGTTTTTGTTTGTTTTTTTTTTGAGAGGTTTTTTTCACTATAGGGCATGTGCGCGCACCAGACAGACAGACAGAGAGAGACATTAGAGACAGAAAGAGAGAAGTCACCCCCCAGGGGGGATGGTCGTGCCGCAATCCCTTCTCCTCCATTCTCCTCTCGGGATCTTGGGCACACATGCACACGCGCCCAGCGTGAGTTTTAAGCCACAGGGTCCAGGACGCGAACCGCGGTTGACTACATGGGAGTCCAGCGACATAGCCATTACGCTAACTGCTGGTTCCCTGTATTGGAGTTTATTGACTAAGCCGGCGGCAAATGTGGGACTTGAGTCTCTCAAAACCCATGTCTCTCGGGACCAGCAGTTGGCATAATGGCTATGTCGCTGGACTCCCACGTAGTCGCCCGCGGTTCGCGTCCCGGACCCGGTGGCTTAAACTCACGCTGGGCGCGTGTGCATGTGTGCCCAAGATCCCGCGAGGAGAATGGAGGAGAAGGGATTGCGGCGTGGCCATCCCCCTCTGGGGGGTGATTTCTTGCTTTCTGTCTCTCTGTCTCTCTGTCTGTCTCTGTCTGGCGAGTGCACGCACCCTATAGCAAAAAAAAAAAAAAAAACTCTCAAAAACAAACACACCAAAACTATGTCTCTCAAAACCCAGTAGCCCCAGTGAAAGGAGGGTGCTTATCAAGGCAAAGATGACACATTTTCCCCTAATGACGTGCTGATCACAAGGGCAAGGCAGGTGTGGCGGGCTTGGCAGGGTGGGGGTAGATCTTACAGATCTTAAAAAAGCAAAAGCGCATTACAGAGGTGGGACAGGCAGGTAAGCAGGTTAATCATCCCTGAGGGCCTATTCTGTCCCTGCCTCCCGCACAATGGCATCTCAAAGGCCTTCATGGCTCCAGGCAAGGTCCAGTGACTTGGAGATTGTATTTTAAGGCCCTGTTTAAAGACAATAGGAGCGTTAATCCACAATAGAGTTATTTACTCTTAGGCAAAAGAGGAAAAGGCAGGTTTCTGGTCAGAGCAATTTAACAGTTTGTAGTGGAGTCAGTCGCTCCTCCAAGATGGAGTCAGGCCGGTTTCATTGATAGCCCCGTGCGGCACATAGCTGCCATCATGGGAGGGCACACAGCCCAGGCACGTCCTCCGGGGCTCTGGACCTGCCACACTTGCCACACCCGCGCGCAGCTCTTAGGAGGGACCAGATTCTGGGCTGAAGTTTCTCTCTTCCACCCCACGACAACCCCTGCCAGGGACCAAAGGCCCTTGGGAGCATCAGGCAAGGAGGGGGGCAAGAGCCGCGGAAAATGCTTCAGCTGACCACCCCCCTCGCCCACCTCAACCCCCCGCCGGTTGTCTTGTGGATACTGGCCTTCCCAACTTGGTCTGGGAAGACAGAGGTTTCTGTCCAGAGCCCCGGGAAGCCAAGAACAGAAGCTGCCCCAGGCCCTTTCTGTCCCTGGGTCTCCTTTCAAAGGCTTTCTGGATCGGGGGAGGAGAGTACAGGGAGGAGAGTCCGGCTTGTGGGTAGCTGGGAGAGGGCCTATCTTTGTTTCGGATTTCTGACTTGGCTCAGAGACTCAGACTCTCCAATTCCCACATGAGATGGCTCGTCCACGGGGAGACAGGCCTTGCCTCCAGGACACGACCACGCCTCTGGCTGCTTCTGCCTCTGCTCAGGCTCCCTCACCAGCTTCCCTAGCAAGTCTCCGTTTCAGCCCAACAGAGACTGGAAGCTCAGAATCTTTGGGTGGCTGGTGGCAAACTGGTCACTCCCCAAAAAGAGACGACTATATTGGCCTACAGGTCTAAAAGACCGAAGGGGCCCAGCTTCGGGGGCTCAGGTCATCGTGTACTGATCTGCAGTGCTGGAAGTCACGGGGCCTTCTGAAGCTTTGAACCCCTGGTCGACTTAGAACATGCCCAGCACAAGGTCCTGCTTGGCCGGAGAGTGGTGGGGAGGAGACCACAACGTGACGAGATTCTGCTCAGGAGTTCTCTTTCTTTTTTTTGCTCTGTGGGTGTCATGCGAGAAATAATAATAATTTTAAAAATGTCTGGGGGAAATGGCTTTAGGTGTGGCTGGATCCAGGTGCTCAGACATCATCGCCAGGAAGACGACTCTATCCATCTTTGGCTCTGCTTCTTCTTGCTCAGGCTTTGTTTTCAGGCAAACTCTTCCTTCGTGGTCGCAAAGAAAAAGAATCTGGGCTTGGGACCAGGAGGTGGCATAGTGGTTAAGGTGCTGGACTCCCACATGGTTGACCGTGGTTTGAGTCCTGGACCCAGCAGTTTGAAACACACAGGGCACATGTGTGTGCATGTCCAAAATCCCTAGAGGAAAATGGAGGAGAAGGGATTGTGGCATGGCCACTCCCTTGGGGGGAGCGATTTTTTCTTTTTGTCTCTCTGTCGCCCTATATCAAAAATCTCTCCAAAAAAAAAAACCTGAGTTTATATCTCCCAGCTTGGTAACACCTATGGACAGATCACACTTTTCAGTAGATGAGACAAAAATCTCAGGGAAGTCTCCTATTGGCCCAGATCAGTTCCCATGGGAACGCATGACACTGTAGGAAGGACAGAGGTGACACCCCAGAAGTGAGGATATTGACAGGCAAAACCACCAGGGACCACCTAGGCCAGCTGCCCTGCCTGCTCCGGACCTTTGTTCACATAGCGCCTACCCCTTTCTGGAATGTTCACTTCCCTCCAAGCTTCCTGCTTCCCCTTGTGGACAGAAGTCTGACTACTTTTCCTATTTTCCAAAATCTTTTCAAAAAGGGGACTGGGGAAGTCATGCCCACAAACATTAACAAACCATTTACTTTCTATTAACAGGATTCTTCCTACCTCCCGTCCCTGGCATAGTGTCTTTGAGATGTATATTTCAGCCGATTACAGAATATTCTTGTGCTTATCTCTGCCCAAGACATGGTACTTCCCTTTTCCTTGAGATGTAGATTAAGCCTTTCTTTAACTAAGACAGGGATCTTCCCTTCCAATCCCCGACCAAGAATTTGTGAAACCCACCTGTAACCTACAAGCTCCCCCTTCTACATGTCCCGCCTTTTGGGGCCAGACCAATGGGAAATCTTTTAATTAAATGTTGTCTGTCAATCTCAAAAGCAAATAAAAGGAACCTCTGTACATGATCACCCCGAGAAAAGGCATGTGTGCCTCTTCTCCGGGCCTAGGTCACTCCCAGTTGGCTTGGAAATAAACCGCATTAATTATTAATTATTAATTTTACAGTTGGTTAGATTTTTCCTTCGACACCCTCCTTCCAGTTCCTCCTCTCCCGGAGTGCCTTCCCTGGCCTTCCAGCCCACTCGGACCTCCCCCTTCTGTGAACTCACCAGGAGACAACGATCTATGCATTTGATTTGATTTTAAAATGAAAATAACCATACGATCTGTGCACAGAAGTCTGACTACTTTTCCCATTTTCCAAAATCTTTTCAAAAGGGACTGGGGAAGTCATGCCCACAAACATTAACAGACCATTTACTTTCTATTAACAGGATTCTTCCTACCTCCCGTCCCTGGCATAGTGTCTTTGAGATGTATATTTCAGCCGATTACAGAATATTCTTGTGCTTATCTCTGCCCAAGACATGGTACTTCCCTTTTCCTTGAGATGTAGATTAAGCCTTTCTTTAACTAAGACAGGGATCTTCCCTTCCAATCCCCGACCAAGAATTTGTGAAACCCACCTGTAACCTACAAGCTCCCCCTTCTACATGTCCCGCACATGTCCCGCCTTGTTGGGCCAGACCAATGGGAAATCTCTTCACTCAATGTTGTCTGTCAATCTCGAAAACACATAAAAAGAACCCCTGTTCATCATCACCCCGAGAAAAGGCATCTTCTCCAGGCCTAGGTCACTCCCAGTTGGCTTGGAAATAAACCGCATTAATTATTAATTATTAATTTTACAGTTGGTTATTTTTTTCCGTCGGACAGATCAAAATAATACTTGTTCCCCAACGAATCGGAAAACACAAAGATGAATCCCGCACTTCCCACAGAGACTGCTCAGGGGAGGTGAGACATTGTGTCCAGGTTTGAGAGGGAATGGGCAGAGGAGGGGAAGCCCAGGAGCACTTCAGGGTATGGGAGTGCCCCGGGGACAGGGGGTTGGAAGCTCCGGCTTTCAAGAACTATGGGCGCTCAGGAGCAGGAGGGAGTGTGAGGAGAGAGCCAGGCCTGTGGGCAGAGAGTAGCTGAAGGCCGCAGGATCAGGAGGCTGGCATTCATCTGAGATGGGAAGCCATCGGAAGATTATTTTTAAAGAATTATTTTATTTAACTTATTTATCTATATTCATTTATTTTTAATTTGACCAGAAAGGGACAGAGTGAGAGAGAGAGAGAGGGAGAAGGAGGGAAGGAGGGAAAGTGAGAAAGCAGGCCACCTGGCCCGGGACTTGATCCACAGTGGGCCATGTGGGAGTCCAGCACCCTTAACCACACACCACCTGCCGACCCAGAGGATTTTTTTTCTTAAGAGAGAGTTTTACTATAGGGCATGTGCACTTGCTGTGCTAGACAGGGAGACAGAAATTGAGGCATCATCCCCCTGGGAGATAGCCATGCCATAATCCCTTCTCCATTCTCCTCCCAGGATGTGGGGCATGTACCTACATGTGCCCGGCATGAGTTTTAAGTTTTCTTTTCTTTTTTTTTTTTTTTTTGAGAGATTTTTCACTATAGGGCACGTGCGCTCGCCAGACAGACAGAGAGAGACATTAGAGACAGAAAGCGAGAAATCACCCCCCAGGGGGGATGGTCACGCCGCAATCCCTTCTCCTCCATTCTCCTCTCGGGATCTTGGGCACGCACGCACACGCGTCCGGCGTGAGTTTTAAGCCACCGGGTCCAGGACGCGAACCACGGTTGACTACGTGGGAGTCCAGCGACATAGCCATTACGCTAACTGCTGGTTCCCTGAGTTTTAAGTTTTCTAATCTCCAGGTCTGGGACTCGAACCGCGGTCAACTACATGGGAGTCCAACAGCATAACCATTACATGATGTGCTGTTCCTGCCCTTGAAGGACTTTAAGCAGGGAAGCCACTGATCATGCCAGCATGGGGAAGCTCTCTGAGCTGTGGCGTGGAGAATGCAGAGGGCAGATTGGAACTTTGGAGGGTCCCCACGGTCATGCAGGGAGAGGTGATCTTGACAGGAGGTGGAGGCCATGGAGAGGGACAGCGTGGGTGGGGTGTGGAGGCTGAGCTGATGGGGATGCATGGTGGGAGGGTCAGGGTGGAGGGTGGGGGTGAGTGACTTCTGGCGTTTGGGCTTGAGCAACCTTATAGATGGGATCCATTCACTGCCACAGGGAAGAAGGGGAGTCGAGGCACTCCCTCGAGATGGTACACATCCAAAAGTTCATGGAAAATCTAAGTATGACTTTATTTTGATGCCCCCCAATTTAAATCTATACCTAGCTTATGCATGACACATTTCCATGAACTGGTTTTTTTGGAGAGGTTTTTGCTATAGAGCTTGTGCGCTCACCAGAGAGACAGAGGGACAGAAAGCAAGAAGTCACCCCCCAGGGGGGATGGCCACACCGCAATCGCTTCTCCTCCATTCTCCTCTCCGGATCTCGGGCACGCACGCACACATGCCCAGGCGTGAGTTTAAGCCACGGGGTCCGGGACTTGATCCGTGTTGGATTACATGGAAGTCCAGCAACATAGCTATTACACCATCTGCTGGTCCCTCCATGAACTTTTTGATGAACCATCATGCACACGCGTGCGTGTATATTTTAACTTTATTAATTTTTCTCATGAGACAGTAAGAAAGAGAAAACGAAAGACAACCCCCGCAGGGTCTTTGCACTGCAATCTACCCCCAGCCTCAGCAGGCTTGGATCTCAGGCATGCGCACAAGGCCTGCAAATACAGAGAGGCCTCAGGACGCAAACCCTGGACCCGACGTGGCTTCAGCATCACAGAGCGTGGCGTTACTGCTGTGCCACTGCGGCTGATCCGCAATGTATCTCCGTCATGTCCTTGGCAATGTCTGGATACTATTCCATAAGAGGGTGTCCCATAATGTCCCCATGGCTGAACGTCGTCAGGACCTGATTTGGTGCCATACATTTTCGCTTCTCGGTCACTTGCGCCTTCCTCCTGTCTCCCACCAGGAACTGCAGGCTCTCTGGGCTCCTTCCCTCCGCGCCTCGCGCTGTGGCCACTAGATGGCGGTGTTGCATAGTAGCCCCTGGTGGCTCCAGAAGCGACTGCTCAGAAGGGCCTCGGAACCGCTGCAGAAGGTGACCTCCCACCCCGACAGGACTACCCCAGCCTTCCTCGGAGGCCCCACATTCTCATGCCCAGAGAACTCCTGCCCTAGGGGGTCCTTGCTGCCCACTTGCAAATGAATGTTTTTGCTATTCCTTGCAGAAATTGGTGGGGTAAGGAGCTGGCCCTGTGGGGGTCGGCTTCTGAAATGCGGCGTCGTCGGAGTTGCTGGCACAGCCTGACCAAGTGCCAGGGCCCACATTACAGAAGTTTAGTGCATAGATCCTTAGAAAAATAGTGTTTTTTTATTCCTACGCGTAATGCTGCCCTTCACATCCATGTTTTTCAATACTATTATGGAGAATGAGGTTACGTGTTAAACTTAATTTAAAATTTAAATATAAAGAAAAAAAACGGCAGTAGGGTTGGCACGCCCAGAAATCATGGCTTTTTGCAAATCACTGGCTTCCGCTCTGGGTCCAGAAGACAACATAAGGAATCCATAAAATCTTAGAAAGAGTGAATTTTAAAATGTGTGCCTTGCAGAACATCAACTCTAGAGGTACAGTCTTCAAACCATAGTCTCTAGTTTTATTTTTTCTTTATTTTTTCAAATTTTATTATATATCAATATATTTCTAAAGTACTTATTTTTTGTTGTTATAATTATTATTATTATTATTATTATTTAATTCACCAGAGAGAGAAAGAGACAGAAAGTGAGAAAGCAAGCCACCAGGTCCGAGACTCGAACTATGGTCAACCATGTGGGAGTGTCCAGCGCCCCAAACACTATTCCATCTGCTGGCCCATCTGGTTTTATTTTAAAAACCTTGGAAAGATAATACTGAGTAAAATAATTGTACAACTCTGAGAATCCATGAGCTCCCGGGGTCATAGTGTCCTTATAGACGCCCAGAACCGTCGTGTAAAGAGGCCCACTCCACCCTCCTCCTCTGGTGGAAGAGGAGATGAGTTTGCAAAGGGAGACTGAGTGACCTGCTGGAAGCCCTGCCTCCGGGAGGGGTGACCCTTACGGCTCTTCCTGCCTCACCCTTCCCTTGAAGCCCAGGTCTCCTTGCCCCCAGGATGCTCAGGGTTTCCAAGGCAGGCCCCCACACAGACAAGACCACGCCAGCTCTAGCTTTGGTCCTTATTAACACTTACGCACCCTGCTCCCTTCCCGGGAGCTGCTTCTCCACACTGCTTAACCACATGGGCAGTCAATCTCAAATGAGTGATGTATGTGAACATCTGTCCATCCACTCTCTCAGGTCATATGTACTTTCCTTCCTTTCTTTTCCTTTCTTTTCTTTTCTTTTCTTTTCTTTTCTTTTCTTTTCTTTTCTTTTCTTTTTAGAGGTTTTTGCCTTTTGGCACATGCGCTCGCTGGGGAGGGATAGAGAGAGACAATGAGAGGGAAAGTGGTCCCATGGGGGGTGGCTACACCACAATCCCCTCTCCTCCATTCTCTCCCCAGGATCTTGGGCATGCACATACATACACACACCCAGTGTGATTTTCAATCCACCGGGTCCAGGACTCGAACTGTGGTTAGTCACGTGGGAGTCTAACCACATAACCTCTACGCCACCTGCTGTTCCCCTTTTGTGCTTTGCGTGGCACGTTCTGAGCCACAAGACGGTGGCATTCGAGCCAGTATAGCCAGCCGCTGCCTGCAGTACGCTGAGGGTCTCCCATCACTGGGTGTCCATCAAATCTCCACCCACCCAGAGCCCCAACCCCTGCTCCTCGTTCTACCCTGGGAGTGAGGACACCCAGGGAAACGGGCTTTGGCTTCTTTCCTGATCTCAGTGCTCAGGTGTGCATCGGAAGACTCAGCTCTTTAGGTCTGAACTTTTACCAGTCCTACCTGTCTTTCAGGACTCTGCTCAGATGGCACCTCCTCTGGGAAGCCTTCCGGGATTCGTCCCACAGAGCTAAGCATCATCCGAGGACATCACGTCAACATCCCTCGTGTGTTTCCCTGCTGAGTTTCCAGACTAATAATCACTGGGGAGTGATTGTTCCCCAGTGCCGTTAGTGACCCTGGGTTTGCCAACTCAAGGGCCCACAGGGGCCGGTTCAAAACACCAGGGAGGGACCAGCAGTTGATGTAATGGCTAAGTTGCTGGACTCCCATGTAGTTGACCACAGTTCGAGTCCCGGACCCGGTGGCTTAAACTCATGCTGGGCGTGTGTGCGCGTGCCCAGGATCCCGAGGGGAGAATGGAGGAGAAGGGATTGCAGTGTGGCCATCCCCCCTGGGGGTTGATTTCTCGCTTTCTATCTCTCTGTCTCTCTCTGTCTTTCTGGTGAAAGAATACCAGGGAGCCCAGGGTCACAGTAAACCAGTGGCCTAGCCTGTGAGGCTGTCCACGAAGCAGGTCCAATGTCACCAGATCTGATGTTTCCAGAAATCTGGAGTTGATAAAGCACCATCTCCCAATTTTTAAATGTCGATAAGCATTTTACATAAAAATCTCTCCTTTCGGGCCAAATAAAGCACACCCACCAATCTAGCCCTGGAGCTAATACTTTGGAAGCCTCTGCATCGGGCCCTTGTTCGTGTGGGTACTTGGGTGTTTGTGTCAGAGAGGATGAGGGTCATTTTCAGAAGCCACGTGGCTGTTTTTGCCAGATATTTATATGCCAACTGTAGAGCCTCTTGAAGCCTACATTAATAAAAGTTTGTGGGACCAGCAGTTGGCGTAATGGCTATGTCGCTGGACTTCCATGTAGTCAACCGCAGTTCGCGTCCCGGACCCGATGACTGAAAACTCACGCCGGGCGCGCGTGTATGCGTGCCCAAGATCCCAAGAGGAGAATGGAGGAGAAGGGATTGTGGCATGGCCATCCCCCCGGGGGGTGATTTCTCGCTTTCTGTCTGTCTCTCTCTCTCTGGCGAGCGCACGCGCCCTATAACAAAAACCTCTCCCCCAAAAAAAGTTTGTTGAAGAAGTCAAGCATGTCAGTTTCAAAGTATGACCCATGGGCCAGCAGGTGGCATGGTAGTTAAGCTGCTAGACTCCCACATGGGACCACAGTTCAGGTTCTGGACCTGGTGGCTTGCTTTCCCACTTTCCCTTTCTCTGTCTCTCTCTGGTTGAATTAAAAAAATAATGATAATAAATAAAATTAGATTGCATAATTCATATAGATATATACATACCCCACAAAGTTGTTGACCTCCTTCTGTCAAGAGGCAGGTCCCTCCTTTCTTTGGAACCTGAAGTCTGTGGTTGTCCGTCCAGTGGAGCATGGCAGAAATGCCACCGTGCCAGATTCAGCGACATTGCTCTTGGGACCCAGCCACTCTGCACTGAGGGTGTCAAAGCAGCCCATGAAGGAGCCTTGTGGAGAGAAACCAGACCCTACCCACCCAGCTATCCCTGACAGCCAGCACCAACTGGCCATGTTGCGCCATCTTGGAAACGGATCCTCCAGGGCCCAGTCAAGTGCCCCAGCTGACACCACCTGGAGCAGAGACCAGCCTTCCCCTTAATCCCTGCCTGAATTATAGACTTGTGGGCAAAATAAATAAGTGATCTTTCTCCCCCCCCCCTTAATATTTTTGCCATAGAGTGTGTCCACTCACTGCAGAGAGACAGAAGAGAAAAAGAGGGAAAGGAAGTGAGAAATCACCCCCAGAGGGTGATGGTCACACTGCAATTCCTTCTCCTCCATTCTCCCCTCAGGATTTTGGGCATTCATGCACATGTCCCCAGCATGTTGCCAGGTCTGGGACTTGAACTGCAGAGTCATTCATACGGGACCCAACACTTTAACCACCATGCTAGCTGCTGGCACATAAGTGAGTTTTTAAAACTCCTGAGCGTTGGGGCTGTTTGTTACACAGCAAGAGGTAACCGAGCTCCTGAGCGTTGGGACTGTTTGTTACACAGCTAGAGGTAACCGAGTTCCAGTGTTTTTGTCACTGCCTCTGGAGTCCTGTATCCTTTTCTCCCTGAACCTCAGCTTGTCCATTTAGGAAGTGAGGGCTTGGTCTCTGGAAGGACGTGATGCCTGCTGCCCAGCATGGGGTTGGGAAGAGGCCTCACCACCTCAGTCAAACTTCACAGAGGAATATGCAGATACTCTGATCCCAATCCCGGCCATGCAGTCCCAGGCAACTTGTGCACATGTGTTCTGGGAGACATGTGGAAAGGTGCCCAGAGCAGGCAAGCCACTGCGGCAGCCTGGCAGGCCCTCGGCCCAAGAAGGGCCTGACGAATCGTGGCTATTTATGGATGGCAAATGAATGGACTAGAGCTCTGGGTGCCACGTGCAGCACCCACGCCTAAGCAATGACCGGCAAAGCTCAGGCTACAGTGACCCAGGCAGTCCCGTATCTATATGGTGTGAGAGTAGGTGGAGCCAGTGACGCTTGGGATGCAGAGCCAACACGGGGTGTGTGGGGGGTAGGGGGGGCTTCAGAAAGTTCATGGAAAATGCAGAGTGTGAAAACACCTTGCATGGATTTCAAATGCTTGGCACCAAAATAGACTTATACTTCAATTCCATTTTCCATGAATGATTTAAAAAGTTTCTTTTCCTGGGAACCAGCAGTTAGCGTAATGGCTATGTCACTGGACTCCCACGTAGTCGACAGCGGTTCG